TTAATAAAATGGAAGAAGCCAATGAATGAGATAACACATCGGACTTACTCAACCACTTAATAAAATGGAAGAAGCAAATGAAGGATTAATATTGCATCAGCCTTGGTGGAGGTGACCCTTGTGGGGGAGCTTGCACTTCGCCAAATTTGCATGGAGTGTGCACTTGCTGCTTCGTATAAGATGGCACCCGCACCACCTCTGACTATTCAGATTACTTTGGTGGAGGTGACCCCTGTAGAGGAGCTTGTACCTAGCCAAATTTGCATGAAGTGTGCTCTTGCTGCTTCGTCAAAGATGGCACCCGCACCACCTCTAACTAGGTAGATTACTTTGGTGGAGGTGACCCCTGTGGAGGAGCTTGCACCTCGACAAATTTGCATGGAGTGTGCACTTGCTGCTTCGTCATTCGTCACTTTGTTGAAGTGGAGGTGACAAGGGGAAGGAACACCAACCTCCACAGGGCTCATTGCCTCAACCCCATAAGTCATGGAAAATGGAGTTTCCCCCGTGGTTGTTTTGCAGGTGGTTCTAATGGCCCATAGAACCTGAGGGAGCTCGTCGACCTACGCCCCTTTGGAGGCATCCATCTTTCTTTTCAGGCTAAGCTTGATGGTCTTGTTGACCACCTCGACCTGGTCATTCGCCTGGGGATGGTGAGGCGAAGAGAAATGCTTCCTGATGCTCAGCAGCCCATTTTAATAACCACCCCGAGGCGTTTGGCTTCTACAAGACTTGCCTTAATGGGAAATTCATTAGGACGTGAATGCTATGGGCCTGGAAGTATGGCCTCAACTTTCGAGAAGTAGTGACCAAAGAAAGAGCCAACTTTTCCATGTCTGGGTAACGCGCTTCGGCAGGCAGTAAGGCTCTGCTTACATAGTAGATTGGCAGTTGGTGCATTTTTTCCTCTCGCACAAGCACTAAGCTCCGAGGTTGCTGCCATACTATGGAAAAGGTTCTCCTTCCTTTGGTTTGCTGAGGAGATGTCTTCGTCCCAGGTAATTTTTCAACTCTTGGAACACCTCTTCGCACTCCGAGGTCCATGGGATCTTCTTTCCTCCTTTGAGGACTTTGAAGAAGGGTAAACACTTTTCAGTGGCCCTTGAGATGAAGCGATTCAGTGCGGCTATTCTACCAGTGAGTCGTTGCACTTCCTTTGGCTTCTGTGGGGATCTCATTTCGATTAGAGCTTTGATTTTCTCTGGGTTGGCCTCTATTCCCCTTTGATTCACAATGCAGCCTAAGAACTTTCCCGAGGCTACACCAACAGCACACTTAAGGAAGGCTTCGGCCAGGTGTTCGATATGCTCCTTAGCTAGGAGGCTCTTTACAAGCATGTCGTCAACATAAACTTTCATCATTTTGCCGAACTGATCAGTAAACATCTTGTTGACTAACCTTTGGTAAGTCACCCTGACGTTCTTTAAGCCGAAGGGCATCACCTTATAATAGTAAAGTCCTCTATTAGTGATGAAAAAGGTGTTGTCCTCGTCGCCTGGGAACATAGGGATTTGATTGTAGCCTGAATAGGCGTCCCTGAAGCTTAGCAATTCATGCCCAGTAGTCGACTCTACCAAC